GCTTGAAATTTGAGGGGTATATTGGGGGAGGGTCGAGGAAGGTATTGAGGGTGGATTTGAATTGACGTTAATTTTTTAGGGAGGTTAGAGTGGGGATTTCGAGCCTTGTATCGGGGGTGGAAACGTGAAATTTGAGGGGTGCATTGAAGGAGGGTTGAGGAAGGTTTTGAGGATGAATCTAAGTTGACGTTCATTTTGTAGGGATGTTAGAGTGGGGATTTTGACCCTAGAATCGGGGGGGGGGGCTTGAAATTTGAGGGGTGAATTGAAGGAGGATTAAGGAAGGTATCAAAATTTGAATTTGAATTGACGTTCATTGTTCCAACAATGATAGTGATTTATACAGAAGTATCCGTATTGCGCAAACCTACTACGTGTGATACGACTCGAGATAATTCCACAAGTATCTAGTTAGATACAGTACATTAGGGGCCCGACTCCAGGGCCGTACCAATGCATCTGCTGGAGAGCATCTGCTAACTTCCGTGCCATAAGTCCAAGGGAACACTTTCCTATTTTTTGTTTTGTACCTTCAAAATTTCAATTTTGATGAGAGTTTTCATATGGTCTTCTTATAATTAAAAATCCGAATGCCCGCGAAATTTGCTATAAATTTGCGAAATTTATGAATATTCAAATTATAATAGTTGTTTGATAGATCAAAGCGTGGCATTGTTGTTGAAGAAATGTTGAGAACTTTAAATATTATTATTATTATTATCACATCATGATTTTCTCTTTTCATATATTTTGAATTTCTTATATTCTGTGAAACTAAATATTTCTTCTCAAAAATATATTCATTGAATGTTCTATGCATTTCTGTTTTCATTGTATTTTGAACTCCTTAAGCAATGGGAGAATAAGGAAATGCCGAATTTCTAGGAATTCTTTCGGAATTCCTAGACAGTTGAAGGATTATCTTGAAACTTCTGGAAGTGTCTTGAATTTGTTTAATAATTCCAGAAACGCTTGAATTCTTTCGCAATTTCTAGAAGTTCTAGAAATTTCTTGAATTCCCCCACAAATTCCACAAATGCATAAATTCTTTCCAAATTTCCCTGAAGTTTTAAATTCTTTCCAAATTCACAGAACTGCTTCAACCTCTCAAAAATTCTAGAAACTTGAGAAATTCCGTCAGAAATTCTAAATTTAGTTGAATTTCTTAAAAATTTCAAGAAGTTCGAAGAATTTTCTCGAAATTTCTTGAATTCCTCCAAAAATTCGAGAAACCGGCATAATTCTTTGGAATTCTCCAGAAGTCTCTTCGATTCCTCCGAAACTTTCTAGAAAAATTTTTAAGAAAATTTTCAAGGAAAAATCTAGTGCTAGCACTGCAAAAGAGGGGCAAAGTGGCAGCCAGGGAAAAATTCCAGGCTGGCACTGGAAATTTTATTGGTATTCCTGCCAATTTTTCGTGTACTTAGGTGAAATTTTCACAAGAACACCAATAAAATGTCCATTGCCAGCACTAGAATTTTTCTCTTGCCGTCACTTTAACCCTCTTTTCCAGTACTAGTACTAGAATTTCTCTTGGAAATTTCTCTCCGTATATAAATCCTTGAATTGTTTCGAAATTTCTGGAAGTTTTGAGAATTCTCTATTTTCTAGTGTTTGCTTCAATTCCCTCGGAATTCATGGAAATCTGGAAATTTTCAAAATTTCTTCGGAATTTTCATAAACGGAAGCAATTCTTTCCAAAATTCTAGGTTTATCGAATTCCTTCTAGAGTTCTAGATGCTTGAAGAATTTTTTCAATATTTCTAGAATTATTTCTAAAATTTCTCTTCTCAAAGTTTCTAGAAACTCGCAAGATTTCTTCTGAAATTAGAAATTTCTTCAATTTCTTGGAAATTTTGAGAAGCTTCGAGAATTTTCTCGAAGTTTCTTCGATTTCTCCACAACTTTTAGAAATCTTCAAATCATTCAGAAATTTCTGGAAATTGTGAGAATTACTTTTTTCTATTGTGTTCTTCAATCCTGTCGGAATTCCTAGAAATTTGAACGATTATTTTGCAATGTCTAGGAATGTCTCTAATTTATCCAGTAAATTATTCTCACCGATAAAAAAATAATTATTCACACAAAAATATTTTGTTGTAATTGAAGGGCTCATGAAACCAGAAAAAAATCCAAGTATTTAGTCTCGGAATTTCGGAGGTTTAAACAAATTCAAGGATGACAAAATTCAACTTTATTGAATATTTTGAATATTGTTAATTATTCATTGAATATCTCGGAAACTTTGGAGAATAGCAAAATTTTTGTCGAGACCATTTTTATAGAGCAAATAAAGATCTACAAAAAAGTTGATAATGAAAATTTGGCTACCACCCACAGATTCGGAGATATTCATCAAAAACCCAGCTGAGGGCTATTGCGTTGAGCGCAGCAGGAGGTTTGAATAAGTTGCGCATGGCGCCAATCACGTGACTCATGGCACTGGTGCAGGGAGGGGAACAGCTGACGCGTTGCGCCGACTGCTCCGAAATTGCTATTATAATTTATAATAAATTAACGGTACATTTTGGGCTATAAGTTTCTAACTCCCCCCGATAGGAAATTTTCTCAGCTACAAAGAAATATTTTTTTTTTCCCATCTGGTGAGGTTAACTAAAGATATCTAGGATTGAAGACGGCCTGTCGCCAATTCCCAATTGTTTATAACAAATTATGAATCAACCCGGCAAATTGGAGCATATACTTTTCAAAACATTAATAATGACACTTTTAGCTATCGATTGGTGTAATTTCGTGTCCTTTGGTTAATTTCGATATAAACGACATTTTCAGATCTAGTNTTTTGCCCCGTCTTCTCTTCACATCTAAATATATATAAAAATGAATCAAATAGACTACAACGATATTGAATTTCCGAGGAGATGTGACGAACCTTTTGGCTCAAGAAATTGTTTAAATTTTCCTTTGTGCTCCGGTGCTTCAGTTGCCAGGGTTTAAATGAAGGAAATTAATTTAAAACGCCGTTCGTCCAGTAAATTATCTCCAAATTTCAAATTTGTCCCAGTTCTCCCGTTTTACCAGCTTTTCCAATTTATTACCAGATTTTTTTCCAGACTTACCAAATTTTTACCCAGATTTCCCAGATACCAGATTTCCACAAATTTTGAATCGAGTGTTCAGTTTTCCGTCAGTTTCGCGATAAAGTGTCAGCCCCCCAGAGACCAGAAGAGTTTGATTACCAAAATTTTGGACTGAACGTTAACGCTTTTCGACCCTCCCTAAACACAACGATTCCCCAGAATAATTCTACGAGATCCTCTCGAGAATTATTTTACCCGACAGTTAAATTTCAAAAGTTCTATTTAAACATGAAAACGAATCTCTCAGTTTAAGCCGATTCATCTAGCCTTGAGGTCATCATAGAGATTATAGTTTTCATCACAATTTTTATTAATAAACAAATAGCCAATACATTTCTCAATTCAAAAATTAGATAGAAGCCAAATAATATTATCATTGTACATAAAATCTTTCCCTTTTTGTTCAATTTGAAATTATTCTCCTCCATTAAATAAATCCAATTAAGTAAATGAACCAATTAACTCAACAATCAATTTTTCTAAAACTCTAACCTTAATTCGCGCCAATCGTTCAGTCCATGAATCGCACTCCTCTGGATCGTCCGTCGGTAAAACGAGTTCACGACCGTCGGTACAACAGAATATCCACCGAAATTCAAGATGGCTGAGTCGGCGAACGAGTGACTTCGCTCCCCTCCTCAGTACTCCGCAAATAATAATTACCACCCCAAAAGAATATTTCCCCCTCGCGGACGTTCCTCCCCGCGTGGCTCTACCACGACAGTTTTACCCGTCGCTGTCAAGGGCTCGACCACAGCTCGCTTTTAGTCCAAGACTAATTAAGCTGGCTGCTGACAAAAACACTAATATGGCTCGACCACAGCACACAAGTAGCAAAATGCTAATTTAGTAGCTGCTGACAAATTGGCTCTACCACAGCTCGCGATAGTCAAAAGACTAGTGTCACTGGCTGCTGTCAATGGCTCGACCACAGCTCGCTTTTAACTAAAAGTTAATGTCGCTGGCTGCTGACAATTGGTTACTTTTCTCTCCTCCGGCGAGGATCGTAGGTGAACCCGGGTGAGGCCTTCCTGATCGCCTCACCACACCTGAATCCCGAAACTGAGCCGCTGCTCGAAATTTAATACCTTTACAGCGCTATTTGACTCGTAGAAATAATGCGCCACCTAGGTCGGTCGCGGAACTACTCAATTTCGAAATATTCCCCGGGAGTCAATAGCCCACTCAACCATCTTTGCTCCAATTTTTCAAATTCGTATATCTTAATACTTATTCTTAATTGCATAAAATCAAATTAAAATGTAAAATCAAATTATTCTTTATTTATTGGTTGTGAGTTCCTCACAGTTTGACTGGACTATTTTATCGCCGTGTTATATTCGCTATTTTATGTCGTTGGGCCCGAAAACCGCGATCTAACCGAGCGAAGCGAGGTTAGAATCGCGATTTATCGGGCCTAATGACATAAAAGTTCTTTTCGGCCTTGTAACGAAAATCGCTATTTCATTTGCTTGTAAAGGAAAAAGGCACAGTTCGGCCACTCGCTGAACGTAACATCACTGTCAAAAATATTGTTTGACACATGTGAGACGGGAATATCCGCACTATTCTGCAGAATAGTCCTTCCGATAGAGTTCTTCAAACCTTCGTTTTGCCAAGTTTTGGAGATATTCGCAAAATAATTTTGTAGTGAAGTGATAAACTAGAATAAGTGCAATTTTGTTGAAAATTTTTCTATTGCTTGGAAATTCTCTTAAACGTGATGAAATTTTCTAATTCTCCTGAAAAAAGTCCATTTTTGCACTTATCCTAGTTTACCACTTCGCTACAGAATTAGCAAATCTCTTTAACGTTTGCCCTCGGTCATTCCTTGACTACTCCTGAACATTTTCCTGAAATGAAAAGAAGGGACTTTTGAAAATTTCTTTTTGTTTGTAGATAAAGGACCTGCCAAGACCATTATTCCAGTGCCATGAACTTCGTGTGTTATCACTCAGTGATAATGAAATTACTACACTACCACCCGCCATAGCTTCCCTTATAAATCTGGAGCATCTAGATCTCAGTAAAAATAGTGAGTTTGATAGGAAGGACAACATGACCTTCATCAATAATAGAATTTGAGTATAATAGTGTTGTCAGATACTGTTATTCTTGGAAGAGGATTGTGCAATAAGTCGATTGTGTTACAACTTTGTTAATTGCGGTATGATAAAAAAAATTTTCGATTTTACACAAATATGTCGAGGAATATTTTATATCGCTATGAAGATTTTCACGAAAGGACAACATTACCAGAGTTTACTAAACCCTTCTACGGAGTCATATTTAATATATTTATGCATTACTGGATTTTCGATTCCATTTCCAATCGGGATTTTAAGTCTGAGATAATGAAATAATCAATGACATTGAAGTTTGCAGATTTCAATCACAAAAAATTTTTGACATTGTATATCTCATCAGGAAATTGTGATATCTGTAAAAAAAATCAAATTCTATGAGTAGGGTATGGAAAAATTTGAACGTGATCATTGGTATATTTGTTAAAATACGATATAGTATTAGTAAATAGGCTAGTATATTCAAGACAAATTTGTGAAAACACTCAACACGGAATATCTATTCTTAGCATAACGCTATTGAAAAAAGTAAAAATCTCACACTTCGAACTCAATGAAATCTCATCGTGATATTTTTTTGTTTTTCATTTTTTATACCCATGGACGACTAATTCACTGATATGCAATAAAACGTTGTCGAGCTGTAGTGTACATATGAGGGGCTCAATAGAAAAAACAAAAAAGGTCACGTTTAAAAAATGGGAAAATCTTCTCGTGATTATTTTTAAAATATTTTTTCAACACTCTACCTTCATTTTATGCAATGTTGATTTTCCTGCAAATCATTAACATCGAATATCCCCGGAAATACTTAATCGATTTTGAAAATACAGCCACAAATTTTGAGTCATATTAATGTCTTGACATGAAGTTTTTCAAAAATGGTTTTCCATTGATCCAATTCCGGACATCTCAAAAAATCGCCAGGAAAATGTTATTAACAGAGAATGTCTTCCATAAAAATAATGATATGGCGACGAAATGGAATCTTATGATTAAATCTTTCACCTATCTTCTTGTGAGGTTCGTGATTTTCCTCTCCTTACCCATTCAAGAGCTAAAAATGTCACTGTACAAGTCAAAACCAAATTTTCATCGGTGAATAACGCGATAAAATGAATTCAGTTGTGTTCATCCTCAAAAAATAAAACTGGCAATCTTCACCCAAAAAAAAAACAAATTTCAAGTCGAGACTTACGATCTCAAATTAAAACTTATGAAAGTCCCAAGTTATGACGTCGAAAGTCTCAAGTTGAGACTTTGAAAGTCTTAAGTTGAAACTTTTAGCCTTCACAGAAAAAAGTCTAACATTCACTGAACCCCTGCAAATGTTGAATGACCCTCAATTTGAATGATCCCCAAATAAGGGCTTATTTACACTCAAATTGGGGATGATTCAACCATTGTGGAGATTCTCTCTATTTGGAGGTGGAGATGCGCTCTATTTCAACCCTAAGAAGGGTTGAATCAACCTTTGTAGAGATTCAATGAAACTCAGCTTTTTTTCTGTTCAACCCGTAAGTGGGGTTGATTCAACCCGTTAAGGTTGGAGTTCAGTGAACGTTAGACTTTTTTGTGTTCAACTTGAGATTTTCGAAAGTCTCAACTTGAGGCTTCGAAAGTCTCAACTTGAGATCTTTGAAATCTTAAAATAAAATTTCTTTTTTTTGTGTGTTATAGATATTTTTACGCTGATTCCAAATCCGGTTGGAAAGTTTTTCTAGCATAGTTTTTGAGGAAAAAATGTTAAAGTATTGAAAACGAGGCGAAGTGGACAAATCGGAAGATGAGTAGTACATTGCATCATTAAATTCACAAAGTATTTTACGGCCAATGTGGCTTCATAATCGGAACCGAAGGTGAGGATTAGGGGAGAGTGGAGTCGATACAAAGACCTTTTTAATTTTTTTGGAACGCTAATGACCCATTAAATTCTTGATGAAATGGAATAATTTTGATTATTCATTCAGTAATGAATCCAAACTCCCGGGCCAGTGTAAGATCAAATCCGTCTGATTAGTACCTATTCTCGAAGTTGGTGATTTTTTTTTCGTGTACGAATCGGCATTCTTCAACGAATCGGCTAAACGATTCTCATTTACTGTTCGTGAACGAACAGCAATTCATATATGAAGAAGAACTTGCCAAAGTCGAGAATAGGGGCCCTGATCCAAGCTTGGGTTGGGGTCAGACGTTTCAGATCCAAACTGAATAAAAAATGTTGAGTCTAATTTGGCTATTTGTGATTGATCAGAATAGGATCTGAAGTGATTGAGCGATCCCGGATGTAGATAATGTATTCAGGCGATGACTGGATCCTTATCCGGGAGACCTGATCAGAAAATCCTGACCAGCAGTGGATCTAAAACTCACTTAGGCCCAGACAATCTGAGCAAAATTTCCACTTGGGTGTATCATAAAATATAGCTTGTCTTGGTAACAGACAGACATTGTACAGGAAAATTAGTTTTATCACTCGGCTGAAAACACTTTGTGGACCTAATCATGTAATCTTCTATTCTTCTTTCGAATTGTCCATTTTGCATTGTTTCCAATACTTCAATAATTTTTTTTATTCAAAAACTATACTAGAGAAACTTATCAAATGGATTTGGAATCAGCGTAAAATAATCTATAAGACTGCGTCGATTCCATTTTCAAGGATGGACCCATGCAAATTCATTTTATCACGTTATACGCCCATGAAAAATTGGTTTTTCTTTATATAACGACATTTTCAGCTCTTGAATGGGTAATGAGAGGAAAATCACGGCGCTCACAAGAGGGTAGGTGAAAAATTTAATCATAACATTCTATTGCGTCGCCATATTATTATTTTTATGGAAGATATTCTCTGTTGATAGCATTTCCCTGTCGAATTTTTGAGATTCCCGGAATTGGAACAATGGAAAACCATTTATGAAGATCCTCACGTCAAGATATTAATATGACTCAGAATTTGGGTCTGTATTTTCAAAATCGCTCAAGTAATTTCAGAGATATTCGATGTTAATAATTCGCAGGAAAAACAACATTGCATAAAATGAAGGTAGAGCATTGAAAAAATATTTAAAAAATAGTCACGAGAAGATTTTCCTATTTTTTAAACGTGACCTTTTTTGTTTTTTCCATTGAGCCCCTCATGTGTACGCTACAGCTTGACAAAGTATTATTGCATATCAGTGAATTAGTCGTCCATGGGTACGAAAAATGAAAAACAAAAAAATATCACGAAGAGATTCCATTGAGTTCGAACTGGGAGATTGTTACTTTTTTCAACAGNATTTTAAAAATAGTCACGAGAAGATTTTCCTATTTTTTAAACGTGACCTTTTTTGTTTTTTCCATTGAGCCCCTCATGTGTACGCTACAGCTTGACAAAGTATTATTGCATATCAGTGAATTAGTCGTCCATGGGTACGAAAAATGAAAAACAAAAAAATATCACGAAGAGATTCCATTGAGTTCGAACTGGGAGATTGTTACTTTTTTCAACAGCGTTATTCTAGGCCTAGATATTCCGTGTTGAGTGTTTTTCACAAACTTGTCTTGAATACACTAGCCTATTTATTAATATTATATCATATTTTAACATATATAGCAACCATCACGTTCAAATTTTTCCATACCCTACTCATAGAATTTGATTTTTTATAGATATCACAATTTCCTGACGAGATATGCAATGTTAAACATTTTCTTTGATTGAAATCTGCCAACTTCAATGACATTCTTGGGGTTTATTCACCCCCAAATAGAGAGAATCTCCGCAATGGTTGAATCACCCTCAATTTGGGTGTAAAGAAGCCCTTATTTGGGGATCATTCAAATTGAGGGTCATTCAACATTTGCAGGGGTTCAGTGAATGTTACACTTTTTTCTGTGAAGCCTGAAAGTTTCAACTTAAGACTTTCAAAGTCTCAACTTGAGACTTTCGAAAGTCTCAACTTGGGACTTTCATAAGTGTTAATTTGAGATCGTAAGTCTCAACTTGAAATTTTTTTTTTGGGTGAAGATTGTTAGTTTTATTTTTTGAGGATGAACACAACTGAATTCATTTTATCGTGTTATTCACCCATGAAAATTTGGTTTTGAGTTGTAAAGTGCCATTTTCAGCTCTTGAATGGGTAAGGAGAGGAAAGTCACGAACCTCACAAGAAGATAGAGTGTTGAAAAAACATTTTAAAAATAATCACGAGAAGATTTTCCTATTTTTTAAACGTGACCTTTTTTGTTTTTTCCATTGAGCCCCTCATATATGCGCTACAGCTCGACAAAGTTTTATTGCATATCAGTGAATTAGTCGTCCATGGGTATAAAAAATGAAAAACAAAAAAATATTACGATGAGATTTCATTGAGTTCGAAGTGTGAGATTTTTACTTTTTTCAATAGCGTTATTCTAAGAATAGATATTCCGTGTTGAGTGTTTTCACAAATTTGTCTTGAATATACTAGCCTATTTACTAATACTATATCGTATTTTAACAAATATACCAACGATCACGTTCAAATTTTTCCATACCCTACTCATAGAATTTGATTTTTCTTATAGATATCACAGTTTCCTGATGAGATATGCAATGTCAAAAATTTTTTGTGATTGAAATCTGCAAACTTCAATGTCATGAATAATTTTATTATCTCTTGCAGGTATAAAAGAGCTTCCAGACAGCATAAAAGAATGCAAGAACCTGCGTTTCCTCGACCTATCTGTGAATCCATTCGAACGCTTTCCAGACGCCATAACGCACATAGTAGGTTTGCGTGAGTTATACATAAACGACGCATACATAGAGTATCTCCCAGCCAACTTTGGTCGTCTCTCATCCCTCCGCACACTTGAGCTCCGTGAGAACAATATGATGACTCTGCCAAAGAGTATGAGTCGTCTAACAAATCTACAGAGACTCGACATTGGTAACAATGATTTCACAGAACTCCCCGAGATAGTCGGCGATTTGACAAACTTGACTGAGCTCTGGATCGATGGTAACGACATTCGTCGTATTCCGGCAAACATCGAGCAGTTATATCGATTAAATCACTTTGATTGTACGATGAATGCTGTCCATGAATTGCCATCGGAGATTCAAGGCTGGCGTGACATATCAATCATTAATTTTTCATCAAATGAACTTTATCAATTGCCAGACACATTATGTTATTTACGCACAATAGTCACCCTTAAAATTGATGATAATCAATTGAATTCACTGCCAGATGATATTGGACAAATGTCAAATTTGGAGGAACTTATTGTGACTAAGAATTTTTTGGAGCACTTACCATCGTCAATTGGTCTGCTACGTAAATTACACTGTTTAAACGCTGACAATAATTATCTCCGTGCATTACCCCCTGAAATCGGTAGCTGTAGTGCACTATCACTCTTATCATTGAGATCGAATAATATATCGGGTGTTCCTCCTGAGCTGGGACACTTGTCCTCGTTGCGTGTTCTCAATCTTGTTAATAATTGTATACAATTCTTGCCGGTTTCCATGCTCAATTTGACCAACCTCAAGGCACTTTGGTTGAGTGATAATCAGAGTCAGCCTCTTGTTCCTCTCCAGCAGGAGTTCAACAGAGAAGAAGATATGATGGTATTGAGCTGCTTTATGCTGCCGCAGAAACAGAGAAAAGAACTTGAACGTAAGTCTGTTTCCTCTTTAATTTCCAATCAATTTGGTAAAGAAGTGATAGAATATTTGGAGTTGAAATTTGTTCTCAACATCTTAGTAGGGGGACATATTAGAATACATCACTATGAGAACTTGTTAGTAACCAAGGAAATTCCCAATAAGGAAAGTCTTATAATTTTTGGTTAATATCGTTAATCCTCGGGAAAATTATCTACTTTAATCATGATTTTACAAGGTTTGTTTCAACTAATTACCATTTAATTCTGTAATTATGCTGCTTAGTGGAGAGTGAGGTGGCGGAGGATGAGGAATGAAATGGTAAATTTGCATAGCATTGATGGAAGAGTGTCTTCTATTGAAGTAGAAAATAAGTATCTTTTCTTTTGATTTTGTTTCAACAATATGCGGATTCAATTGTTGATAGAAATGGAGCAAGCAGTGGGGCCAATTTCCGGTTCAATCGTTGGAACCGGAAGGAGAATATGTTTTGCTGCTGAAGTCGACACCGAGGTCCCTAGACAGCTTCATCGTGCACCAACCCCTTATCCAAAGGAGCTACGTAATCTCGCGAGACACGCACGCAATCTGCAGCAGCAGTCTCTGCATGATCAAAGGGTATATATTTTTTCCCATCATTACCATCATCCACTCTCTTGATTTTACATAATACATGTGGGGAAATTAGACTATTATTGAGAGACATTTTCAATTACAAGTTTCCTCATTAAAGATAATCTCTTAACATTTTTCAAACTCCTAATCACTCATTTTGAGTATAACCGTCTAATTCACAGATTCCACATTTTTTTACAAATAATCTTGAAATTTTTTATTACTCGCTCACCAATTTCAAACAGGTAGCCCGACTTATTATCCTCGGAAATATGTTTCAGAAAATATCTGCGTCGAAATCCATGATACCTTTATCCTCCGACAATTTCCCCATAATGAAGATAGCTATAGTTTCTTGAAAAAAAAAATATTTTGAGGCTGACGTCAACTAGTTCGAGGCAAATTTGGAGTAGTTTGTAGCAAAGTGACCTATATTGTTAACGCTTCTATTCATTTGTCGCACACGACGACACCACGTTGCATTGTGAAAAGGGGTATAAGAATATATCATATAGAAAAAAATCTAAAAAAACTAACATCTACGTGAACGTAAAATTAACGAATCACGTAGGAATTTTAGTCGTCAATGTCATTGTTCATTATCTATTCAAGCCCAGAACGCTCAGACGCTCTTTAAAATCGCAAAACTGTCTGAATTTATATGCTAGCTGCCTACCAATTGCGCCGCTTGTGGCGGAAAATAACAAATTGTATAATCCAACCAAAAACTTCTTGTCGTGTCACGGGACCTTAAAAACTTCAAAACTTGGCGTTTTGCAGGTCCTTCGACACGAAAATTAATTTATACCATACGTGCGTGAAATCCGTCCGGTTTCAGTTGAGTGTCGATNGTATAATCCCGTGCATAACCCATGGGCATGCGCAAATGCACGGGTCGATGCGCAGATCGATGCGCAAATGGTCGTTGCAATATCATCGTTGGATTCCACACATCCATTGCGCATCGACTCACGCATCGACTCATAACATCGCCCACTGCCTCACTTGTTGGTATCCACATAACCCTCTCAATATTCTGTCGTTAAATTTATTCATTTATTCAATATAAAAGCAGTGAAATTAAGATTGAATTGAAGAAGGAGATTGATCTCTCAGGAGATTTATTTGATGGAGATTCGACATTCCTCACCGAAGCAACCGTCGGTTCTCCGCCAAATAAAAAGCTGTGTCTGGATGATGAAAATGATGAAAATAACAACTGGAATGATGAAAATCTTCCACCAGAAATTTTGAAATCAGGACAAGAAGTGAGGAATAATTTGATCCCCGAAAAATCGGTTGATAAATACAACACTGTCTATGAAATTTCACCCAATTAAATTGAGAAATTTGATTTTAAACAATTTCCAAGTCTGAACTTTTTTTTTATTTTTGATCTTGATTTTGATNGGGGGGGGGGGGCTTCGCCCCTCGACCCCACCAGGGACTTCGTCCCTGGACCCTACCGGGGGGCTTCGCCCCCTAACCCCTTTCTGCCCCTCCCGACCCCTTTTCGCCGCGCACGCACTTATGGTATAAAATAGTATACGCAACTCGTGCGGGCAGCAAGCGGCTACGCGTAACCGCTTGTTTCCCGCACTTGTTGCGTAATATACTATTTTGTCATTCCGGCCGTAAGGCAGCGTTTCACGGACTCTGCCTACAGCCGTCACTACAATAGTATATTTCGTCACTAGGCCGAAAGAAACTTTTCTGGCGAATATGAGTTAGAAAAGTTTTTTTTGGCCGTATGACGAACAGTATTTTTTGTTATGATGGCCGTAGGCAGAGATTCACGGCCGGAATGACAAAAAAAATATTGTTCGTCATGCGGCCAAAAAAACTTTTCTGGCGAATATGAGTTAGAAAAGTTTTTTTTGGCCGTATGACGAACAGTATTTTTTGTTATGATGGCCGTAGGCAGAGATTCACGGCCGGAATGACAAAAAAAATATTGTTCGTCATGCGGCCAAAAAAACTTTTCTGGCGAATATGAGGTTTGCAGCACGAGCCGAAGGCGAGGATGGCAAGCACGTGGGGGAGGGTGATATGTTTTCCATGGCGAGGTGTATATTAGTATATTTCGTCATTAGGCTGAAAAAAAACTTGTCTCTCGCCTTCGGCTCGTGCTGCAAACCTCATATTCGCCAGAAAAGTTTTTTTTGGCCGTATGACGAACAGTATTTTTTGTTATGATGGCCGTAGGCAGAGATTCACGGCCGGAATGACAAAAAAATATTGTTCGTCATGCGGCCAAAAAAACTTTTCTGGCGAATATGAGGTTTGCAGCACGAGCCGAAGGCGAGAGACAAGTTTTTTTTCAGCCTAATGACGAAATATACTAATATACACCTCGCCATGGAAAACATATCACCCTCCCCCACGTGCTTGCCATCCTCGCCTTCGGCTCGGAGGGCAATCTTGCACGTGAGGGACGGTGATCTGTTTTCCAAGGCTTGGGCATGTAATGTACTATTTCTCGCATGAACTTAGTTTCAGGCACCGAGTTTGTCAATGAAAATAAAGGAAACGAAATTTTGGACCGACTATAGGCCCAAAAAACAAATGACAGAAACTTTTTTCAATGTTCACCTGTCACTGAATGCCATAACCACACTTGAATTGAATGGAATCATACTGCGAAATTCATGCTCAGATCAAGGAAGGCTGTACGTCGGTTTTTTACTTTGAATGATATATTCAAAGTATTGTCCATTTGAATGTTTAGTTTGAATTCGAAAATTTAAGAGATGGAACTATGAAGTTGGCTATTAACACCCAAAAGTTGCAAAAGAACGTCGCTGAGACGGTGTTATTAGTGCCCTTCATCAGATACGTAGCTAGCGTATAAGAGATAAATACAACAGTCGGCTTGGGGTCAAGTGCATCGGAATTGAAGAATACGCGGGAGACTTCTGAACGAATCTAACGGTCCCCACCGCAATATGTCTAGGAATTTTTTTCGAATAAAATAGTTATATTTCCGATTGTACTGAATCATGGAAAATAAGTTTTCAAAACCAATATACTAACAAGACATGGCTTGCAATACGTATTGATCGTATGAATTCGTTACTACCAGGTTATTGGAGTGGACTATCGAAAGTATATATTGATGGAGAATGAATTGAGAATTCAAAACGTGTTATGTGTCGAATTGAGTAGAATCGTTGATGCATATATTTATTTCTATAAATAGTGAAATAGTTGAAATAAAATCTTTCCGGATAATTACTTCCGACGATACGCGAAATTTGAGCATGCACATCTGAATTGAATATACTTAAACAAGTACCTATGAATGCACGATGCAAAAATGGATTGCATTAACTTTCCTACGCTGAAAAAATCAACACTACCATGAATTTTCCAATTTGAATTATTAAATTAATTACAATAGTTCAGAAAATGAATCAATAGAGGAAGCGTGGCGCAGAAAAAAAAATTTTAATTGTGCACGCAAAGAACTTTTTTAACAAAATTCGTACATATCTGTAGGCATGCTGGTAGAGGCCACCAACAGCATCAATTTTCGATTACAAATTGATCTGAAGAGCCAAAAAAGAAGGCCGAAATGGATCGTAACAAGAGGAAGAAATTTATCTATGCGATATTTCGAATAATTTATATTATTTACAAGATTCGTAATGTTAAATTACAAACGTGCCGATACGCGACCTCAAAATGGGATATTCTCAAGTGGGAAAATTGTATGAATTAGACGTGCCATAGTGAACATCTTGAGAATCTTTCGTCATCTAATTAGTTAATATACTGAAATTGAAATCGATTGATTTTACATGCATCAAAAATGAAAGCATCCAAATATCTGGCGGTTGAAATCCAACGGTGATCGAAAATTGATTTGTCCTAAAACTCGGTCGGTTCCCCGGCGAGGGAGTCGCGATCGGTAAAACAGGTATTGGGATAAATCAATTTTCCCACGCTCAAATGCTTCCTTTGCACGAAGGAACCTTCGTTTTCTTGGTCATTCGTCTCTTGCAGGGGCCATATTCTCGAGGTTAGTGAATAGTCCTTCGTCCACGAATCGACGTTCGTTGACGAACTGCGTATAGTAGTTGTATAGAAGATTCGTTAACGATTGCCGATTCGTGCACGAAGAAGAATTCACCAACGTCGAGAATAGGGCCCCAGAATGCAATTTGAAATACTAGAGGTCCCTAGATGTAACTACCGTATATTGATATGGTCGGGGGTGAATGAACGATAGAATGTATATTAACAATGAACAAAACCGTTATATTAGCTTTTGTACGTATTAATAATTTGTAAAATATCTAATCAGCTGGAAAATTATTCGTTTTTTCGTTGGATAGTATAAAAGAATTTTCATGAAAAATATATAATGGGACTCTCACTCTATTGTTTCAAATGACGAGGGTGACAATTCGTAATTCGTATCATAAAAGTTATGTCGCTTCGTGTATGAGGTCTAATCATTATGTTCCAACATTATGAAATGCCAATTTCTTAAATCGAATGGTATCACATTCTCAATTGTTGCAAATAATTACTTCTCATTATCTCTTGGGAGCAACATTCGATAGAATGAATTATTGGAACGAAACCTCAATCCTTGGAAACTCTATGGACAAAAATATCTTGTTAACTTACGTTAAAAAATTCACTTCAGTAGTATCCTCAACAGATACCCTTTGTCAAATTGAATAGTCTGACAATATGCAATGAATTGCAAAATCCAGACAACAAAGATCCGTTGTATAAAAGAAAGTAACCAGGAAAATTAATCTAATTCATCGACTGAAAAACATTAATTTTAGCATGTAATAACAACACTATGTATGCTTAAAGATGAAAATGGATATTTTCTGTATCGGTCATTCATTTACGCGACACATTCAATTTTCGGAATTTACGGACAACGGTCTTCTGTAATTCGAACAGTCAGGAATTCTGATGAATGGATCCCGATGCACTTGACCCCAAGCTCAACAATTAAATAATCCAAAAGTAAATGTTGAATGTATTCTCGGAAAGATATTTTAGGACGGATGTTTCTCCGTGGAGATTGTGTTGCGGGCTTTTCTTTACCAGTAATAAGTCGGGGAACCTTTCAGACATTGAAATATTTCTCTGATGATTAATTTCACTTTTTCAGATCCACCTTGAAAGAGATGGAGTGATAAAAGAAGCAGTTGTAGCAAAATCTACTCCATCCCTCAACCTTTCCAGTTCCCAACTCCATCCCCAATCCCCTGTTCACTCCCCTCCGAAATCACATGATGACCCCTTAGAAGAACCAAACCAGCCAGTTCTGGCCCAGGAAAAGACTCCTGAAATTCGTGAAGCCAAATGCGTAAGAAACCCAGGTTCTGAATACCTCTCACGACCCCCGACTATCGCGGACTACGTAAGTTCAACTTGGAAGCCAGAAGAATATTCACGAACGAACACAGCCAAAATAGTAGAATCCGAGAAGCTGGCTGAGGCTCATAAGAATCCAGAAAACAGTCCCAACGACCAAAGCAAAAGTACTCAAGATCTTCCATTAGCACCTCCACCTTATCACATTGCTGCAGCATTCTCGAAGAAGGCCGCACTCTTCCAACAGCTTAATCAATGTGATTTGATCGATGACATGTCGACACCTTCCAAGACGGCTGACAATCATTCACGAAATTCTTTTAACGATTCTCCTCAAATACAATCGTGTCAAAATAATAATCAAAATGAGAATGAACAAATTGATGGAAATGTTGGTGGTAGAATAATAGATCATTCGCATGACAAGAATTTAATTTTTATGGAGGACAGACCCAGTAGAATTCCTATTTTAAGAGGGAAAAATCACGAAAGTATTTGTGACGTTGAGGGTAATTTCGCTGATGATGGACATTGCAATTTGGCATTTAATGTTTTTGATGATAGAGAGAGAAGTCATGAGGTAATATTGAGTGGCATTGAGGGACCAGTGTCACCTGTGACGGGGCGAAAGTACAGAAGTCCATTGTCCAATGCATATAACCAATTGAAACACTCTGACGGAGGGAGGAAAATTAATGGAAGTTTTAGGGAGGGACTAGAGGGATTGAGTGGACAGAGTGGGAATAATTCGGTTGAGATGCAGAATGAGAGGAATTCTGGAAGGAATACAACGATGAGGAATGGCGAGGGAGATGTTAATGGAGTGGAAAGATCAAAAGCCAGAGATGAGAGTAGACCCAAGCTCAAGTGGATGTTTGGACCACATAGAAACGTTAATGTGGTAAATTATATGATTTTTATATAATTTTCTTTGCCATTTTAGTTTTCAGCTTCCAAACAGAATGAAAGAAGAGAAAAAATTATATACCTGGTTCAATCAAAAAAATTTGGTTTAGCATAACTTTCAATTTTTTTTGTGACGTTTCAAGGAATACTTGTAACACTTCTACATCATTCCATTGTCATGGAAATTGACAAAAAGCCGATTGAAATAGTATGGAATGCCTCTTATGTTTATTTTGTCCACTTCTTCAACATCAACAAAACCAAACGAAATGTATTTTTTTTTCAATTATTTATTATTATTATTATTATTATTATTTTTTAAATAAAAATTCCCTTTTCAAGACGCAATTCAAGACCAATTTTTTCAGAAAATTTGAATTGACAGATACAGAAAACAACGGATAATTCTAAGACTTTCCGTTCAATTAATCTATATAATAAGAATCTATACATGTACCGAACGTAAGAATAGAATTTTAATTTGTTCGAAAATCCTTATTGAAAGTTTTTGTTTCAATATGTTTACAGATTCCTGTTCAAGTGAGAAAAAACCCAGGCTTAGGATTTAGTATTGCTGGTGGAGTGGTCGGAAACGAAACCGTGAGAAAAAACTTCCTTATTTTGCTTTCCTTACTTAAAAAAATGATTTTATCAATTCTTTTGATTATTGCAGGGCATAATCATAACTAAAGTGAATCCAGACGGTCCAGCGCAAGGAACTCTCCGCCCAGGCGATAAAATTCTCGAAGTCGACGGTATTGATTTCACGAAATCAGATCACGATAGCGCAGTTGCGATTTTACGCTCTACAGGAGCAGTAGTCGCAATGTTGATAAGCAGACACCAGTGAAAATGCACTCAACTCTTTCACGCAGCTCACCGCCTCCATTTTCAGGTTTTTCTTTTGAACAATAAGTAATTATTCTCCCTATGTATGTAGACTGAGCATTTAGTAGTATTTATTAGTGGTAAAGCAATATCACGGTCCACTATTTCAATTTAACAGTAAAATTGTAAAAGAATAGGTGGTTATTTAGCAAAAAATATTGAGATATTCAGAGAAATTCATCGAAAAGCCCTTTTGTGTATTCTCCAAACACGGCAGCTGTTTGAAATTTTTCTCTGAATCTAATAATCTTCAAGATATTTGCAAAATACTCTTTATATCATTAAGCCCGATAAAATCGCGATTTTTGACATAAAATATCGTATGTCACACGGCGATAAAAGCATTATCTGGCGAATGTGATTATAATCCGAGTCGAAGGCGAAGTCACATTCGCCATATAATACTTTTATCGCCTGATGACATAATATACTATTTCATCACGCTGTGACGAAAAGTGAACTTTTCGGCACGCTCCGCATGCCTAAAAGTCCAATTTCCGCCACATTGTGATGAAAAATATTGTTCGCAACTCGTGAAAAAATGTTTTTTAGATCGTGGGATTATATCACTCGCCTTCGGCTCGTGATATAAACCTCCCACTCGCCAAAAAACACTTTTTTTGCACTTGTTACGAAATATACTATTTCTTTAATTCTTCCACTCATACTCTCTTATAATGTAAAATTCTTTCTCACCAAAATAACGGAGGATAACAAAAATCAGTTGGTACTGCTTTACCACCACTTTCTCTTCTCTGAGTATTGGATTCCACTCATTGATTGGAACTATGCACAAATGTACCTTTTATATTTTAAATTAATTCTGAAACAAATAAGATTTTTCCATTGTAGTTTTTGTACTTTATCACCTGAAAAAAATTAGAGAATTGATGCTTAAAATTTACAAACAAATTAGTGCACACTTCTAAAGAACATACGTCTATTTTTCTCGACTTATTATACGTGAAATATTTCAATGTTTAGATTATTAAATCCGGTACCTTTATTTTTCAGTAGAACAGGTGTGCCAGAGAATAAAAAAGAAAATATTTATTAATTGAAAAAAATGAGAAAAGAAATCATATACAAATATATATATACATCAGAATTTATATGAGTAGTTATACGATAATGGTAGATTGAACAAAAATGATATTCTTCTATGTGCCGTACTTTAATTGAAAAGTGTAATCTTAAGTGTATCACATTGTTGCCAACGGTAGAGATACTTTACGACTGTTTATCCATAATTTAGACATTCAGACGTTTCATTTGCACAAGGCCTTCATTAATTTATTGGTTTCATATAGGGGAGAATTTTTCTTGCCATTATATATTTTATCTTTTTTTTATTGAGTCATTGTACGCATTAAGGAGATGAATATAACTCTTGCAGCCTTAACGCGGTTCGAATGTAGCTATATATATTGCAAAAACGATGTGATTTTTTAGACATCCTCACGCTTTTATGGGTGAATAAAAAAATATGATCCTTAGCTAGAAATGTACCTTACTCTATCCAACTGCGGCTGAAATAGATAAGAGATTTTTACTCTGCTGAAAAATTGTGTGAATTATAATGGAAATATGCCACCTGGTTTGACAGCCAACTCAAGTAGGGTATGGGTGCAAACCAATTCACAAGTTTGCATTATGAGTTACTCCATTTTCCAACTGAGAAAAGACCCGTGATCTAATTCAGCCGCAGCCACATGAAATAACGTAAATTTCTAGCTAAGGATCATATTTTTTGGCTCAGGCCCGGGTGGATTATCTTTCGAACGTGATCTTGGTTGGTTTTTTTATTTTGATAATAGGAAATGATCTCCAATTGCTGTTCAGTTTTACATAACCCTGGAGTCTCCAAAAATTATGGTTGCACAATGAAAAAAACGTTGAAAAAAGCGGAACATTTTTAAATAGCGTTTTTGAATAATATTGGGAAATGAACGCAATAGGGAGGAAATTTTAAATTAATAATTTGATGTATCTAATGGCTGTGAGGTCGTCATTTGTCATAGTAGTCAATGGCTGTCAGATCGTTAGTTACCATGATAAATTATCCATTTACTATTTCCTCTCTATCGGACTTATTTCTTAATCTTTATTAAAAACGCTCTTTGAAGATGTTCATTTTTTTTGTACATTTTTTGATTGTACAATCATAATTTTTAGGGACTCCTGCGTGACGTAAAATCCAATGGAAATTATGATATATTTTACATTATGAAGATGGAAAAACAATCGAGATAACGTTCGAAAGATAATCCACCCGGGCCTTCAGTCAAAAAACCGTGTGGATGTCTCAAAAAAACCTTCGCTTGTCTCAATATATATAACTACGCTCGAGTCGCATTAATGCAATGCTTGCAATTGTTAAAATAATCGTAAAACAATCACTAAACTGTTTTTGATTATTCTGACAATTAAAAGCGTTGTGTCAAGCCTGCATTGTGTTCATTGTGAAATCTTCTTATTTCGGAAATTATTGAGTTTAGAACAGAATGTTAGGAAATGATTTTTGTACTTCACCAAATTGTCTCCTAAAATTTTGATTGTTTTTTTAAAACCTTTTATTTTTAAAGGTATCTGCGAAATAATACGTTACCCATTCATTCTGCTTTTATTACTTCACTCATATAATTAATCACTGGACTATGGAATGATCATTATGTGGCAATGAACTATTGAAATTCAACTGTCATTATGTGACGATAAACTATTAAAATTCACTGCACTCAATTAGGAAAAAAATCGACCGATAATAATTGCTCTCATTGTGAAATGATAGAACCGAATGACTCAGTTTCACTTCAGACACATTAGATCAATTTATTTGGGATATTCTAGGATTACAGGGAGACGATGAAATTTTTTCGAGGCCTTTTTTTAGATCAAAATCTAAAGTTTTGAAAAAGGTTCTTATAAAGATTCATTCATCTATATATCTTCGATTTGAAAACATTCATGAAAAAGTTGATCCGCTCTGAAATTTAATATTACCTTTGTTTCGTTTTGTTTTATCTTTTCATAATTGATTCCCACGTGAAGCTGAATTTGTACCTTACAAAAATGCAAAAGAAGAATGTATCTCGTTCGATAACGAGGTGCTGAAACTATGAGACTAAAATTGACACAAGTAACATGACAAATCTCGAGTGTTTCTCTTTGAATGATTAACCAGTGACCATGTTGGTCGATAATGTTGTTAGGCAAAGCATTTTCATTCAATTTTTGCAGTTTTTCAAGATGATTTAGTGATTATATTTAAGAGTTTCCTGCAGTATCAGGATGAAAATAATGCAGGAAAGTGGTAGAATAAGTCGAAAAATATCATGCAGACCATTTTGAAAATAACTCTGTAACCAGTTCATAGAAAAAAAATATTGAGAATCTCTCTTTGTTCATTCATCATAGAATTTTCCATCAGATCTCTAAGAGATGCACAAGATGTTCGACTAATTCCGCTGGATCTCTTACTTTGAAGAATATCTACAAAACGGTCTGGAGGACATTTTTGGGCTTGTTTTATATTCACTCTAGAAACGATGAAAATAATTATCTCTAGAGATGTATCCACTGGCATAAGTAGTTACTTTCACTGAAGGAGAAATGGGAAGTTGTTGAGAGGTAGATTATAAACGTAGAAAGAAAGAAAGACAGGATAGGAATCGATGAAAGGGGATAAAAATTATTCATTTTCCAGTTTTCAGTGAACATTGGATATTGTATATCTCCATGTGGTATTGTATAGCGAATAAATCACTGTTAAGAATTTGAAAACAGAAAAAGAAAAAAAAATGCCATAGCTGTTGACGTTCAATCATCAGTTTCGCTCTTCTCTCCATTACGTAGAGAACTTTAAGGAGAAAGCGTTTAGGCATTCAATTATATAGATGACTAGTCATGTACTCATCGTTCTTCGGGGCACGAAAGAAAATATGTGTATTACATATATATTTATTATGTATACTTCTTACGTCGAGCGTGATTCAAGATTGTTTTTTTTTCGTTTATATGAGTGATAAACGCACATTATTCTTGGTATTTTATTAATAACATGAGAATTGTGGTGAAAGCTTGTGTGGGTTATTTAATTAATTAGTGTATTTAGAAGTTTGTGGAGCAAAGTCCGGGAAATTTTATATGCTGAGAAGTAATTTGAGAATTAATTTTGAAAACACTCTATCGTACGAAGATACAACTGTTTCTCCGGTACTAAAACTTTCGAGGCTCTATGTGAAAGATTGGCTTGTGTACCAGCCAACCTTTTGCACGGAATATTATTGGTACTCCACGAAGGGTTATCTGTGCATTTTAGGAGTGCTTTCTTCTAGAATCAAAATCATCCAGATCGACTCCATGCGCTTCTTGGCTGCTAATACAAGCCCATATCGGGAAACTGAGTTGTATAAATACGATCTTTTGCCACAACGCTCGCTACAATCTGTTAGTTGTTGAGACACTAATTGATCCTTATGGATGACAAAAACGAAAAAAAAGTTCTTTTAACCTTTTCGTTGATTCAATCTGGCTTCCAAGTCTCTCTTCAAAGTGTTCTTTGTTGGAGATAAAAAAAATGAATTGATGAAAAAAAAATAAAAATCTGTACATAATGATGAGGGATTGTACAACTCTCGGCCAATACCTCCTCGATTTTTCAAACTAAACAGACTGACTATTTCTTTTGGATGATTTGTATGTAGGTAGTAGAAAAATTGAAACAAAATAACCATGTTTAGGGTTTAAAAAAATATTACGATATTAAAGTAAATTTTTTGGTAGCGATTGCCACGAGTGGTCATACAAATGAGCATGGATGTAAATAAAGCAAAGGAAAAAAATGGTATATCATTAAAAGAATTGTGTATTTTTAAAGCGATCTGTTAGCTTAATAAATGAAAACCCTAGAATTTTTGGGACTAATTGAATTTGTGAGATTTAATACTTGACGATGACAGGCTGTTGTTATTTTGAGTTCATGGGGATGTGATTGTGGGTCAATAATGAACAATCAAAATACCGAAGTCATGTGATGACGCTCACGATATTACGACGTCTTTTGAAGGTTGGAATGAACTGGATTTGTGGGGGTATATGTGAAATTTCCCACGTTAATGAAGAAACGATCATATTTCGATTATTTCGAAGGTCTTGGGGTATAAGAAATGACAACATATCTCGATGAATTGTGATATAATGGGAATTAGAAATAAATCAATGGATTTTTTGTTCAATAGAATTGGCTATTGAATTTTTGACGTAGATACGTTTATGGTTTCGTTTTGGGTCGTCACTCGGCGAAAAAATGCTTATGCAGCCGCGCCATCTATCGGCGATGCTTAAAAGCGTAAATTGAGTTTTCCTTATTAGTCAGCGGAATTGAGTTTCTTGGGTACAGCGAGAACTGAGATTTTCCTGAAGACTAGAGTTAAATCTCAAAGGCAAAATTGAGTTTTCCAATAAATGACTATCGATAGTTTAAAGCTAAAGATTCCTCTCGTAGAGTGCTCCCTTCCTCCTCTTTCGTCTCCTCCTTTCTCGTTTTCGAATTCTGGTTCTGCTACTCTGCTACACCGCTCCCTGTTCTTCTGCTGCTCGAGACGAAATGGCCCAGGCGGATTGGGTGCACTAAATTTATAGAAGGTTACTACGCAAAAACTCACCATTGGCTGAAGAGTCAATGGTGGGAAGTTAGAAATCTGATTGGCCAATGAGTCGATGGTGGGGAGAAACCTTTTGATTGGCTAGTGAGTCGATGGTGGGGTTAAAATGATCCAAGGCCGAAGACAGTACCATTTCTTAGATAAGGAGCGATTGAATAGAAAGCATTCTTAATCAACTAAGTCTGTTGGAAATTCGGCCTGAAAAGGCATCCAGACCAGTCGGTGGTCATCGGCCATCTTCGGTCACATGATCAGAAGAGGGGGAAATACCCAAAAACCCCTCGCGCTTCACTCATCGTTCGGAATTGTATCAGACAACACGTTTTTATATCGTTCTGGAAGTTAATTTCAGGCATTTTGTATCTTTGGAATTATATCATTTCAGTTTGTTATCACGGAGTTTATAATCACGTTTATTGGTCAGTTATCAGTTTCGGTTCTATTGGACAATTATCAACAATTCTTTGTGAACATTATCAGTGAATTAGTGGACAAATAGTCGTGTAAATACTTGTTTGAAAATATATCGACTCGCCTTACGGCTACATCATCGTAATTGATTTTTCCCAGTATACTTTCCCAAATTTCCACACACGAAACCTACTCCCCATCCACCCACACGTTCAATCCGCAACAAATGGTCCTTCGAGCCGGCTTGGAGGAGTTGAAATTAGTGATTCGTGTGTTTTACTAGTGGAAAAAATCATCTTCATAAAATTATCGACCGCGTGGGCAACGCCCAAAACGGCTTGCCTGACGTCAAGGACACTCAACAAAGGCGAAATTATCAAGTGTTTACATTTTGGACAGACGATCAGTGTCGGGAGAGTATCACGGGGTTTGTTTACATCGGTGTTGCGGAAAATCAAACATTGTTTCGAGTCGCTTAAACTCGGGCTCAAGCGAGAGACAGGGGTTCTCAAAAATTCACGGGATCAACGGTGCTCAATCAATCCGGTAAGCTACAAGAATCATGGCATCGACTGGTGGGGATAATCCGGAAGGGAATCATGACGTTCTACACGGTGGTGGGGATGAAGAAAAGCAGTGGAGAGACCAAGTTCCACCTACCACCTCGCTCTGATTCAAAAGCCCCACTCACACCATCTCAGATGATGATAGCTCGGTTGGGGGTACAATACTCACGTCAGGCGTATCTAGAGGGAGGGCTTGCACGCCTGAGGAATACAAGGGTGGAAGATCTCACGGAGGAGGAGCTCAATTCGATGGAAAAGATCGCAGATAAGCATTTTGAACATTTCAATACGTATCATAACACATTTCAAAATGCTCCAACAGAGGAGTTCCTCGATTCAGATTATTACAAGGAGAATGTTCATGGACTCACGATGACTATTCATAGTGACATCATCACAATCATCGGAAGATTGAGGGGCGAGATCAAGAGATCAAGGTCATCAACATCAATGGACAACAATCGAGGAAATCTATCGAGAATCGCTCTACCAACATTCGATGGTCGGTATGAGGCTTGGAAACCATATGAGGATCTATTTAACTCTATGGTGAGACTGGTAAAAGGCATTCCAAGTGTGGAAAAAATGGTTCGACTCAAGGGATCACTCAAAGGAGAGCCACTCAACATGATCTCTAATCTCACAGTTACTGACGACAATTTCGAGATTGCTTGGAACAAATTGGTAAAGCACTATGACAACAGGAGGTTGATTATAGCAGCTCACATCGACAAAATCTTGGAATTGAAACCTGTGGTTGACGACCCAGCCAAGGGGTTGAGCAATCTCAGCAACATCATCACGCAAGCACTGGACGCGCTGAGGGCTCTTGACGCTTCAGTTGATCATTGGGACTTAATCGTTGGAAGGGTAGCGAGACGCTGTATCGACTTGGATACCAAGAAAGCTTGGGAAGTTCATCTCGGTGGATCAAGGGATCCTCCAACACTCAGAGAACTTCTCGACTTCATCGAGGCAAGGGCTCGTGCACTGGAGAATGTGGCACACGACAAACCAGCTCAAACTTCTAAGGATTCTTCATCAAAATTCAAAGGAAAACATCAGCAAGTCAAAGTTCATCATGCTTCTGGGGTTGGAGGCCAAGCAAAGGCTCCAGCTGAGGTATCAAAATCAGGAGTAAAGGAGTGTCGACTCTGTGGAGGTGATCACTGGCTGAGGTTCAACTGTGAGAGCTTCAGGGCGAAGACTCCAGCTGAACGCAGAGAAATCGTCACAGCAAAGAACCTTTGCTACAACTGTCTTGGACCTCATCGAGCTCCAACATGCACCAGCAAAGAAAGATGCAAAGTTAAGGATTGCAATGGGAATCATCACACACTGATCCATGAGGGGTCACCAGAATATCGCAGGGAACTTCAACAACAGACTCAGCTGAGTCAGCCGTCACCAGGAAGTTCTGGAATATAACTGGGGACATCGAAGAACTCAGGATTGAGAGGTTAAGTATCATTTTCTTAATTATTATCTTTGGCAAATGATACGGCCCTCATCCTGTGTTTTTCTCCCCCAGGTCAATCATCATCAGGATTATCATTAACAAATCCAAGGGAACTGGCATCACCATCATCATCAACTGGACCAGTTGAGCAATCAGCCGACCCCAAGGTCATTCATCAAACATCAACATCAGAACAACGGGTAGTGCTATTGGCAACAGCCAAGGCACTTGCAGCATCATCATTCGGAACCTATCATCACGTCAGACTTTTGATCGATCAGGGATCAGAGGTCATCTTCATCACGGAAAAACTGGTCAACATCCGTCAACTTCGACGCAAGTCGACAAACATCAAGGTCTTCGGAATCGGCGGGCTAGAGTCAGGGTCAACACGTGGAGCAGTCAAAGTCAATCTTCACTCTCGATTTAATCATCAAAACCAAGTCGAGGTCACTGCTCACGTCCTGACGAAGCTTACATCAACTCTACCATCAATCCATTGTACTAAGGCGGAATTAGATCATCTTCAAGGGCTTCAACTGGCAGATAACAATTTTCTCAAACCTGGGTCAATTGATATCATCATCGGTGCAGATCATTACGGTCAGATCATTGGTAACAACATCCCCAAATCATCTGATAATCAGACTGTTGCACAACAGACCATATTTGGGTGGATAATATCAGGGACGGTCTGCTGTACAAGTTGTAAACCGCAGACATCTCTAACTGCAGTACGAGAGTCGTCGAGTGAGCAGCTTCTAGACCTACTCAAACGGTTTTGGGTTCAAGAGGAACCTCCATCACACGAGAACATGGAATTAGGCCCTGAAGAGTTGGAATGTGAGGAACATTTCCAACGCACACACACAAGAGAGAGCTCAGGACGCTACGTTGTACGTCTTCCACTCAAAACAACACCATCAGCACTGGGTGAGTCAAGAAAACACGCTCTCCAGCTGTTGAATCGAACATCTACCAAATTATCATCAAATCCATCATATGGGAAACTCTACAAGGATTTCATCAACGAGTACGAGGCTCTTGGTCACATGAAAAGAGTCTTAGAAGCATCAGAACCATCACCGGTCTTCTATCTCCCTCATCACGGTGTTCTGAGGGAAGATAGCATCACGACCAAGCTCAGGGTGGTCTTCAACGGGTCGAGCAAGACATCATCAGGAGTTTCACTGAATGAAATCCTTCATTCTGGTGGAAAGCTTCAGGTAGAAGGATCAGACGTTCTCATATGGTTGAGAACACATCGTTGGGTAGTCGGAAGAGATATCGTCAAGATGTTTCGTCAAATCAACGTGAATGAAAAGGATTGGGATCTTCAGAGAATCTTGTGGAAGGATGAGGACAACAATCTCATCACCTATCAACTTACAACGGTCACGTACGGTCAAACCTGTGCTCCATGGTTGGCCCTACGAGTTCTTCAACAATTGGTGGAAGATGAAGGTCATCGGTTTCCAATGGCGGCGGTCTTCTTGACAAAAGGGAGATACGTCGACGATATCTACGGAGGAGCAGAATCAGAGGATCAACTAAAGGAACTCATCAATCAACTGATCGGACTTTGCACGGCGGGCGGCCTCCCCCTGCAAAAATGGGATTCAAACTGTCAGGAAATTCTCCAGGAACTTCATTTGACATCATCACCCCCCAGAACAGTGGAATTTGAGAATAGCACGGTCAAGGTGTTGGGACTGTGCTGGAATCCAATCTCAGATGTCTTCACCTACAAGGCGAAAGAAAAATCAAAGGCTACTATCAACAAAAGGAATGTTCTCTCAGAGATCGCACAACTGTACGATCCTCTGGGAATCATCGGACCAGTCATCATCAGAGCAAAAATCTTTATCCAGAAATTATGGCTATTAAAAATCGATTGGGATGACCCATTGCCAATGAGTCACATCAAACGTTGGAACGAATTCAGAGAAGAATTCACTCAACTCGGACAGATTCAGATTCCAAGATGGCTTCAAACCTCATCAACATCATCAAGGATTTACATTCATGGGTTTGCTGATGCATCAAATCTGGCCATGGGGGCTGCGGTGTATATCAGGGTAGATAATCACGGTTTGGAACCATCAATCATCTTGGTATGTGCGAAAACCAAGGTCGCACCACTGAAGAAGATCACCATCCCACGGTTGGAGCTACTAGCGGTAGTATGATTATCAAATCTGGTTACTTACGTGCAGAGGATGCTGGGGAGAGAAGATTTATCACTCTTTCTCTGGTCGGATTCAACAACAGCACTTACTTGGATCAATGGACACCCATCAAGATGGAAGGACTTCATCCAAAATCGAGTTATTAAAATTCAAAACTCCTTACCATCAGCAACATGGAAACACATCAGTGGGAAAGACAATCCAGCGGATTGTGCATCGAAAGGACTATCTCCAAGTCAACTGGTAGATCATTAGCTCTGGTGGAATGGTCCACCATGGCTCAAGTCACCACAGGAGGAGTGGGCATCTTCATCAACGGTAATGGAATCGACGACGGAAGCAGCATTGGAGGAAAGACCAGTGCTGGCTCATCCTGTAGCACACGTGGAACAACCTCAGGACTTGTTGGAGAGGTATTCTACACTTGACAAGGTTCTGAGAGTATCAGCAAGGGTCATGAGAGCGATCAAGCTCATGAGACAGCAAGAGGTACCAGATTCTCCAGTTTTACTACCTGAAGAGCTGGATGATGTCAGAATCTATTGGATTAAACTCACTCAAAACGAACATTTTGAGGCACTCATCAATCGACTCAAGAATGGATGAGAGATCTGGCACAATCATCCCCTGGCAAAGCTAACACCATGGTTAGACGAAGATCAGACGCTTCGTCTTGGCGGGCGGCTCAGGCGCACACCTCTGGAGCCAGATGCTAAGACACCCGCTATCATCCCAAGACAATCAAGACTCACATAACTGGTCATTGAGAGAAAACTCTCCATGGAGGAGTTCAGTTAACATTGGCATACATCAGGCAAAGGTACTGGAAAATATAAGAGGGTGGGCTAAAATGTACACTTATTTTTTAAAAATATTCTTTATCAATTAAACTCAGTCTAGGCTCATCACAAAGAGTAACGATTGTAGTTTTCTTTTGAAAATAAAAAAAATGCATTTCATGAACAATCCAAAGTCATTAATATTTAAAAAAAAATGAAATGTCCATTCCACCTCACCCTCCTCTGAATACAGACTGGTCTATTAGGAGAAAAGTTAATCAGAAAGAGGTTGAAGACTGGCGCTGTTCCCACGATAAAATCGCTCGAGAAGGAGGGCCATTTGAAAGGTTCGTTAATTAGAAAGAAGAGAGAGAAAAATATTCGTGTTAGAGAGTCTACACTCTCATGAGATATCGATTTGTTTTGATAGGTCAAGGAACAACTGTGCTCAACTTTTCGCACGCTCACCCTCATAACTCCCTTGTTCCCAGACTTTCCCTTGAAAGTCCTGGGAAACATGTCAGATCTACGTCCTTGGAGATGGAAGGAAATACTGATAAAATAAAAAGAATATGTCAAGACCATCAAGCAGAGGAACTTCGAGATATTGAGGGCATAAAGAGGATTGAAGACGGTAAGCTGAAGGGACTTTGAAGGATAATGAAAGGGCATGTCGACACTGTAGGTGTGGGGGACGTGGACTTTTGTTGAGAGGAGGCGAGTACTGATGAAAATTCTGAAAATATCTATTGTTCATATGAAGGGTTGGATGAGCTAGAAGAGCTCGAAGAGGCAGAGAGTTAAGAGACACAGATTGACCTGAGATTGAGGGAAACCAGAGAGACACAGACAGAACCGAAATATTTGAAAAATTGCTCCGTACAAACTACAATGGCACTGGCATCTGTCCATAGTCCATTTTTTGTATGATTCAATATACTTTTAAAAGATATAACACATAATTAAAGATAATTAAACATCATCCCGTCCCAACCTCCATAGAATTGGCTATTCACACACTCCCGCCACAAATATCGGTTGTGTAGGAAATGTGAGGGTATTTCCGTAGAATAAAGATTGCGGGATACTGTCAACTGAATATTTATTTAACACACTTAAGGTAAGTAGAATAATTAATACAAAAAGACTTTGCCAAAGCTGTGGTGTGTGCACATGGGCACGAGTGGCAAGAATACTGTTTTATCGACCGTCAGTCGAACTCAGACCGGGGCACTAACTCATGCTTACGCCGCTGGCGCTGCTGAGGCCTGACGGTCAAGTCCCTCGGCGAAGTGGCAGCCGAGGGAGGCGAGGGGGCCACATCTACTCCCTCCCCAGTTACCTGGTCTGGTACAGATGAAGGGAACGAAACTCTCTTCCTTGCAGGGTACGTTCTGAAGGGCCTGTCCATCGTGTTTGATGGGCATGAATCAGGTACTGGTGGTGGTGAAGCTGGTCGGCTGGGTTTCTCAGGTGCTGCAGGTGGGCGGGGCTCCTCTGGAGATGCTGGGGGCGAAGCTGACTCCTTGGCAACATATGCTGGTTTGAGTCGGTCTACCGAGAGGCTTTTTTCAGTGCCGTTTAGGTCAATGACGAAGTTGCGGTCATCGATCCTCCTGACGACTCGGTGGGGGCCAGAATAAGGCGGCTCGAGCGGTTTTCTGACTGCGTCAATCCTCACAAAGACGTGGGTGGAGGTGTAGAGGTCTTTCAGGAGAAAACAGCGGCTTTTGATATGATGAGCGGTTGGTGATGGACGAACTTTCCTGATGTGTTCCTTGAACTTCTCCAGGAAAAAGTTCGGGTCCGCTGGGAGGTCTTCTGAGACGAAAAAGTCTCTAGGAATCCTGAGCTCAGTACCGTAAAGGAGTTGAGCTGGTGATGCATTCCTCCTTGATGCAGATACGCAGGCCGAGCACGACGGTGGAAAGCAGCTCGGGCCAGGGTGTTGGTGCGTTTCACATAAGTGCGGCCTTGACTGTCCGATGCCATCTCTCCAGGATCCCATTGGACTGGGGGTTGTATAGAGAAGTATGGATCTTGTTTGCTCCAACCATGCGAGCGAGGGCCGTGAAGAGTCTCGACTCAAACTGGCTACTCTGATCGGTGGTAATTGTGAGCGGGGTGCCGAACTGCGCAATCCAATGTCCGTAGAAAGCAGTGGCAATGGTGTCTGCCTCAATGTAGGAGAGTGGCACGGCCACAGGCCAGCGGGTGAATCGATCGATCATTGTTAAGCAATAGCGGAGTTCGTTCACTCATGGAAGCTCGATTATGTCGAGGTGGATGTGGTCGAATCGGTTGTCTGGGACATCGATGTGCATCGGATCGAGTCGATTGTGTCTCTGCACCTTGGATTTTTGACAGGGTGAACACTCACGTGACCAGCGAATGGCGTCTCGTTTGATCCCAGGCCAGGCGAATTTCTCCTTCAGGTGACGAGCTGTGACTCGGCCAGATGGATGCGACAGGTTATGGATAACTTTGAATACACGTTGGCGGAGAGCACCTGGAATGAAGGGGCGCAGATATCCAGTGGATATGTTGCAGTAGATCTCGTGACCTTCGATTACAATGGGCTGGATCTTGAGAGAGCTGCTAGTGAGGAGTTGCGGTAGTTCGTCGTCTTCCTGCTGAGCCTCGTGGATGATATCTGAGCTGAGGTTCTTGGGCATGTTGATGGAATTTACTCGAGACAGTGCATCTGCTACAATGTTCCCTTCGCCTCTGACGTGTAGGATCTGAGTAGTGGATTGAGAGATGAAATTGAACTGATTTACCTGTCTCGGTGATGCTTTCTCTGGATGTTGATGAAAAGCGTAGACGAGGGGTTTGTGGTCTGTCTTGACAACGAACTCACGGCCCTCGACTATATGCTTGAAGTACTTGATGCCGGAGAAAATGGCCAGAAGCTCGCGGTCGTACGTGCTGTAACGAGTCTCTGTGGTGCTCAGTTTTCTCGAGATAAATCCCAGGGGCTGCCAGGTGTCGTTCACGAACTGCTCGAGGGCTGCTCCGATTGCTGAGTCAGAAGCGTCTGTTGACAGGGCCAGTGGTGCTACAGGGGACAGGAAAGAGGCTCTGACTGCGGAGGCAACGCTTTGTTTGCACAGCTCCAGAGCTGTCTCGGATTCTGGGGTCCATGGCACCTTGCGTTTGTCCTTCTTCTTGGCATTTTTCAGGTGATCGTTGAGAGGAGCTTGTATGGCAGTGGTTTGGGGAATGCAACGTCGATAGTAATTCGCCATCCCGAGAAATCGGCGTAGATCCTCAATTGTCTCGGGCTTGGGGTACTGCAGGATAGTCTCAACCTTGGCTGATGGAGGTGAATATCCATGTTTATTTATAATATAACCTAGGTATTCACCCTCTTCTTGACCGAACTGGCACTTGCTGGGATTGGTGGACAGGTGGTTGTCCAGCAGTAGCTTGAGGATGATCTCCACATGTCGTTGATGCTCTTCAGGGTCCTTGGAGAAGATTATGATGTCATCGATGTAGCACGCAGCGAAGTCGATGTCCCGAAGCAGGCCGTCCATGTGTCTTTGGAAGGTTTGTGCGGCGTTGCACAGCCCAGGGGGCATGCCGACAAACTCAAAAAGATCGAAGGGCGTGGTGACGGCGGACTTTGCGATGTCCTCGGTAGCGACAGAGATCTGATGGTACGCTCGTACAAGATCGAGCGTTGTGAAGTTGCTGCTGCCATGACAGGATTGGATGACGTCCTCAATGTGTGGAATTGGTTAACGATCGGGCAGTGTTTGCCGATTCAGCTGTCTGTAGTCTCCTGTGGCTCTCCAGCCACCATTTTTCTTTGGCACCATGTGGACTGGGCTGGCCCAGGAGCTACTGGAGGGGCGAATAACGCCATACTGCAAGAGAAGATCGAAGTTGTATTTGGCTGCTTGGAGCTTCTCGCCAGCAAGACGACGTGGTCGCTCTGCTACTGGGGGACCAGTCGTGGGGATGTGGTGAGCCGTTCGACTGCTGGTGCTGATGGATGGGATCGCTGCTGGCTTCGTGACATCAATGTACTTGTGGAGAAGCTCGCTATAAAATGGAGGAAGCTTGGGGCTTTGCTCAACTGGGGAGACGCTGTAGATAGAAGTCTCACACAGCTGACCAGGGGCTTTAAGTTTAGTTGTCTTTAGTTGTTTAGATGCTGTCGAGGAGACTTCCACGAGCTCGTCTGCGATGGGGGTGAGGTCGCTCAAGGGTGTGAACCTGGTGGCCTTGAGAATTCTCTGAACGTCGAGGGGCAGGAGGGAAAGCCATCTGACCCGTAGAATGTTCTCAGAGGCTCGTCCTGCTGCTAAGGCTCCTATTTTGTGAAGGAGCTGGGAAGGCTTTTGATCACCAAGAGTCAGCTGAGACAATGCCTTTTCGAGCTATTTGTCTACTGAGTCAGTGAAGCGCTTCTGGATCTCCTCCTTGAGATAACCATACTGGTTTTCGACGGGAGGGTCTAGTAAAATGTCTGAAATCTCATCAAGAACGTTGTAGATGTTGAATGCAGACTCTACTTGGCTGAACCATGCACGTGGATTTGTTCTAATGAACTTTGTGAGTTTACATGGGTGAGTTGAAAGTGTACTGACCGAGGCTGGATGTTGTTGTTGACGTTGTCGTAGGCCAGAACCTGGGGATTTGCGTTGGTCTGTGTCCTCGTGTTGCCGTTGGAGGTGAGGCTCGTTGTGAAATCATCCAGCTCGATCAATGACAGGTTGAACTGCTGTCTGCTGCTGTCAGGCTGAGGACTCAGCACGGGCATTGTGCGATTGATATTTGCAGGTGTCCTGGGAAGCGACATAATGAGACGCTGCACGT